TTCAGATGTTAATTTAGTATCAAAAACATAAAATATTTGAGTAGCCTGAGAAATAGCCGAAGATTGCAGTGCCACAGCACTAGCGAAAATTTAAATTTGCCGACTGGAATGCTTTAGGATAACGGACGTTTCAGATAACCAGCTTTCGGATAAACGACGCTCTACTGTATTAATGTTTGTTAAAAATTTTAAATTGAAAATATCCAAATAAAAATTCCTGCATAATAAATGCTCTATAAAATATAATTGTATACTCATAAATAAATAAGCAAACAAACATACATATATATAATTACTAAAGCTAGAATATCTAGGCAATAAAAATCATAAGTTATTATTTACATAAAACTTATGATTTTTAGTACCTAGATAACTTTACTAATTACATATAAAATCAAACTCAACATATAATTATAAACAAAGGATATTGCCAAATTTTAATTGGCTATAAAATGACTAATTATTATAAAGATATTACATAATTTGGAGTAAAGGTATGCAGTTAAGCTGCCATCTTGTATTAAACTTGATAATTAGAAATTAATTAAGAATATTCTTGAAGAAAAGACCAATCTGAAACATGACTTGAACCCACAACTTTCGCCTACTGTGCAGATGCATTGCCAATTACACTACTCAGACCTCTATCCGATCTTTATTGCAGAACAATTAATTTAAAAGTTACAACAATACAAGTCACTCGCTGCATGGCAAATAACCTTTATGGCTATATCTTGTAAAGTAATTGCAGAAGTTGCAAGTTCAAATCCCTCCCCAGATTAATCTTTTACTTCAAAAATATTCTAAAATTAATTAATTTAATAATTAAATGCATGCTTTTAGTCCAAATTATGAAATATCTTAATAATTAATTAGCCATATTATGACCCAATCAAAATCCAGAAGTATCATTTGTTTAATGCAATTATTTCATTCTTATTCCTGTTACAGATTAAGATTTGATAATGAAATAATTACAACAATTATATGTAAGAATGTTACTGCTATCTTATTCATGGATAAAGATCTTTTCCATAGTTTAAGAAATGACGGATTTAAATTATCTTTACAAATAAATTTCATTTAAAAGTACACATACATCTTTATCCAGCAAAATTTATTCCAATAAACTAACGTTTTCAGCTAAAACTATAATCATTCTCAAGTTATATTTGAATAATTAATAGAGCATTTTTTCAATAGTATACAAAATATTATTTTTACTATTTTAAAATGAAATATTTTTAAATAAAATGTTAAAACTATGATAATTTTGTAACTATTCTTGCAATTCATTTACTATTATTATGTGCCAAATAATTTTAGTGTTTACAAAAATAGCTAACATAAGAAATTTACAAATGATTGATTACTATTCTGTTAAAGACTTCTAAAAGTTAAATATATTATTTAAAATATATTTTAATTCTTAGAAATTTATAATCTTAATAAAATAAAAATAGATGGTATTTATGATTTTATTGACTATTTACATTTTGTTTACAATAATCATCAGTAAAACTGGACAATTAAAACATCAATAATTAAAACAAATTTATAATATATACTACTGTAATTTAAAATCAATACAAAGTCCTTCAAAGCAACTGTAATTCTCCATTATAATAAACAACTTTAATTTCCCAAGATTTTTTCCTACATTGGGAACTAATTTTTAATATAATTTCAGTCCTTTTGAAGGCTCATTCTCATGTTTGACTTATAATTTACATGAATAAATTCTAATAACTAAACTTATTTATATAAATTGTAAAACTTTATTTTTGGTATAAAATTTTAATTCTTAAAATATTAATTACAGATATTTAAATATATGCTAGAAATACTTTTTATTTTCTGTTTTTTATTCATTTTTTACAATCTATCAAGAATAAATATTTAAATTTTATTAATGTCGAGGTTTATATTAATTAAATTAATTTGTCTGTATATGGAATTCATATACATCAGCAATTGACAATTTTATAAACTATTAGAATATTCAAACTTCAATTATTTTACAGCTAATTTTACATTATAACCTTTTTGCTACTTACCCCATTCTAATTGACAATAATGGGTTTTCGCTTTACCATGTACTTTAAGATTTTGACACTTGTCTGGATAAGTTATGGCTGTTGTAATATTCTTTGAGTCAGAATACTAAAAATAATATAAAAACAATCTTTCATAAAAATCAAATATAACAAAGTTTTCAAAATTAATATACTTACTAAAATAAATTATAATCAAAAATTAAATTTTCCGAGTTTGTTTTTTTTTTGTGGGGGTAGTGCGAGACTCTGAACTAAGTAATTTATTTACACAACTAAATCATAACACNATTCGAACAATCGCTGATATATGTCGACAAGCACAGATAAGCTTTGGTGGAGGTTGAAACGAAACCCAAGAAGCCGATGTCGACAGAGAGGCGATAGTCTGTCACCAAATTCTTCACCATTTCCTTCTCAAATTGGTGATACTGTACAAATACAAGTCCCTGTGTCGACCGTGGCCATACAGATGCCCGAAATGTGTTGGCAGTTGTTGTTGGAATAGAAAATTCCAACTTTTATAAATTAGCAAACAAAAATGGTACCCTCAAGCAGCTTTATACCCGTAATCAGTTTGTAATTTTTAAAGAAAAGTTACTTTCCATAGATGAGATTTCTTCAAGAAATATCGCTGAAAGAAGCAGCTGCAGCTAATTTGAAAAGTGGAAAGCAAGGCTATACACGCTGTCATTGCAAAAAGAAGTGTTTCATGAATAAATACAGTTGTAAAACAAGGGACTCTTGTGCAATTCAAAGTGCTATAACAGTTTAAGTTGTTGCAATAAATAAGATTGTATAACTTTAAAATTTTGCTGGATGATAAATATTTTTTAATAAAAAGACAAAAATCACATGGTAATCAGCCAGAAAATTTTTTTGGAAACAACTGTCTTTTTATTAAGAAAAAAGATTGTATAACATTAACCACATAATTTGTGTGTAAGTTTATGATTGTATTATTTTCTTTAATGATTTAGAATGCACTGTTCATTTTAGGTTGAACAGTTTATTTACATTGCTGTTACTTAAGCTTTCTCCTATTTTGACATATTAAAAAGTTGCATTTTTGTCTTAAGGTAATAAAAATATTTTTATTCAACATTCACCATCAGTGCATGATGAATGTCGACATTTGCTGGTGTAAGTGAGAAATAATGATATTTAGCAAATATTTCGTATTTACACGAAATGACTGTGTGAATGCTGACATTCACCGGAGAATGTTGACATTCACTAGATATCCGTCATTCACAGTAACACATATATATAAAGTAAGAGCCTGCTTAACACAGGGGATGCATTCCTAGACAACAAAGTGCTAGGCGAGACAGCATTAAATGAGGTAATTTTAACACAGTAAATAGGGCTAGGGGAACATACAACCAAAATTAAACAAGTTTTACTTTAATTTTAAGTTATTTTTATATTAATTTGTATAATAATGTATGTTAAATAACACAAACATATGCACACAGAAATGTAAAGTTCATTTTTTGTGAAGATCCTGACTTTTCTGAAATTCTTGTTCTTTTGCAATAAAGTCATGAAGTTTCATTTGTTGCTTTTTCTTTCCTTGAGCAAATGTCAGTAGTGGAAGATTGCATCTAAAACGCCTCATTTTGCTTTTGCACTCCTTTCAAAATCTAGATCATTCGCTACAATTTGATCAACGATTTTGGCTATCTTACCAAACTTTTAATAAGGAAATCTGTACAGAAATTTTTTGGGTTCTTCATTTTCAGAATCTCTATTTTCCAGTTCCACATGAATTCCATGTTCTGCCAGTTCTTGAAGGTCATCGTAAGGCTCTCCTCAATATCCTGTCTATATCTCCTAGTCCTGCTATATCAATTAGGTTGAGTTTGGTCAACCTTACAATACAGTGATTGGCTCTTCTCGTTGAGAATTCTTGGATACCTTCAGCCATAACTTCTTCCACAATTCGTTCGTGCATTTATCAGTTAATTCTTGCCAAACAAAGTTGATATTTCCTATAGCATCCATGATATTATATTTTTTCCAAAATTGCACCAAACAAACAAAGATTTAAAGAAAGTACACCTTTTTGCCACCTTTTGCTGATTGGTTTGTGTTCACAAATAACCATATTATATATGAATCAATGAAATGCCATGATAATTTAAATCAACAAAAATTTTGGGCTTCGAGCAGACTGCATTATATCAAATCAGCGTTAAGCAAGGCAGCATTAAGTGGGGTCTTACTATATATATAACAAACTACTAGATAAAATTTAGTATTTTATCTATTTCATTTAAATTATTGAATTATTTACCTTTGTAAAATTCTCTTTGTCTTGACTAAACTCTAAATTATATTCAATTAATGGAGCTCCATTATTATTTGGTTCATCCCATGATAACTTGGCAGTTGAAGAAGAATGGCACTCCAATGAAATCTTTGGCGAATCTGGAGGACCAGCTCCACTCAACACTTCTAGCATACTCGTCCATTGCCCAGGCTAAAAAATTATTACATCAAATTAATTAAACTTAGCATTATTTGGTTACAAAATTTATTTGATTATTTAATTAAGAACAGACAAAACTAACCAGTGATCAGAATTTTTAATCAAAAATAATGAACAACTTGGTGAAAATTTAAAATGTACTCCCTTGTAGTCATGTTAGTCATGTTAACTTTGTATATACAGGTAACCCCCGTATAACACGGCACATCTATAGCACGGATTCACTCTAACACGGTTCGAGAATTGGTACCATCCCCCGTATAACACGGTACTTTTATAGCACGGGTTCACTCTGACACGGTTCAAGAAATGGGTAAAACCCTCGTACAACATGAAATGTAATAAATTTTTACATACTTAAGTAGTAATAGTTCACGAAAATAATAATTTTCGTGAACTATTAGTACTTCAGTATGTAAAAATTTATTACATTTCATGTTGTACGAGGGTTTTACCCA